CTATACGCTGGGCATGAGCAACCTGCCACCAACGCTGCAGCGTAAGTTGTCAACGGCATCGCGCACATCGAGCATTGAGAACTGGGACTATTATTATCCGGACATACAGGTGATACAGCCGACGCCAAAGGCCTCGCCGTGTCCATCGGAACGCAGCATACATGAGCCCACAGCGAAGAGCTCGACAGTTGGCCTAGGCGCGCCCAGCATTAAGCGCAAGCACAGCATCGTTTCGTATGATCCGGAGAGCGCCCAAGCCGGACGCAAGCAGCAGATACACTCAATCAGCGCGGACACCGTGGATGTGTATCCCTACAATCAAAGCGCACTCACGGAAGCCATCGATCTGGGACTGCCTCTGGCCAAGCCACTGCAATCAGCACCGCCCACCAGCCACCACCAACAGGCCTTTCACTTCTGCGACTCGCCGTCGGAAGAGCTGCGACTGGGCGTACGTCGCAAACTGATGCTGGTCGAGCTGCAGCGGAATGTGGAGAGCAACAACAACAGCTATCCCTACACAGCGAATGCAGCTGTGCCGGCCCCGGCAACGGCCACCTCCAGCAGCATTAGCGTGGACAGCACGCCCGTTAGCTTGGACCGGTTGAATGGCACCGCCAGCGGCAGCGCCAGCCTGGGCACCATTTCGGCCAAGGTGCTGCAAAACGCGCAGGTGGCTGATGGCAAGCGTGCGCCTCTTGCTTCATTAAGTTCCTTTAAGATCTCCTCGCTGGAATGCCCAGACTCGGAGCTGCGCTCATTAGACGAGGACTCCGTGTTTGGGCTGGAGGAGAGCGCCGCCGACACAGACGACGACATGCAGCAGCTGAGCAGCGACAGTGAGGAGCAAAATCTGGCACTGGCCGCTGGGCAGACGGCTCAACCGCTCAATCCCCTTCCACAGCCGGCTGTGGTGCTGCCCATCAAGCGATTAAGTCTTAGCGGCGTGCCCATGATGGGTGGCGCGCGGCCAAGGCGCCCACTTTTACAGCGGCATCGCACCATTGGCGCTTCCTACAGCGATCGTGTTGCTCTGGGTGTGCATGGGCAGCCTGTGCCGCCGCCCCTCGAGACGCATTTCGGGCCTGTGGTCTGCAGTCCGCCGCAGCGACGGGCCCAGCTGCTGCAGCAGCACAGCGATCCGCAGACGACAACGACAACAACAACGACAACCACCACAACAACCGAGGAGGATACATGCTCCACGCTCAACACCGAGCTGGGCATGCTGGATGTTGGGGCTGCAGTGGGCGCGAGTCCCTCTAGCGGAGCTGGTGGTGGTGAATCGGCGACCCAAACGCAATACAGCAGCCTCAATACAGTCATCAGTGTGGGTCACTCCAGTCCAAGTCCACAGATGGACAATAATTACGTGTGTTCCACAAATGTTGCCGCTGGCCAGACTCAGGCGCAAACGCAGGCAGCGGGAGCAGCAACAGTTCCACAGCATCTAGCACAACTGCCATCCAACAGTAGACTGGGCCACGATCCGTGCGCCTCTTCCATATCCGACTCAGTGATAGCCACCAGGCCGCAAACCATATGCATGCCCGCCTCCTTGAAGGAGCTCATCCTGCGCGGCGGAGGCGCCAGCAAAAGTGCCCACAATTTGAATCAGCACAGCAGCGAGACGACAGCAACGACAGCTGTTATGCTAGAGCTGCCACTCATCAGGCTGCCGAACGACGAGGACGAGGATGACGACGACGATGACAATGACGAGGAGCACTTGGAGCAGAATGATGGGCTGAGTGTGGAGGAACGGGATCCCAGCCTGCCCGGCACTGCGAGAAAATGGTCAAAGGAGACGCTATTCTAGCCCAGTTTGTGGCCACTGCTGCAATGCGTGCAGTCCCCAACAAGAGCTTAACAACTGACTTTTAGGGTAGTCAACCCGCTAGCTAGTAGGGCTGCCACCCCTTCAATTTGCTAGCCAAGCGGACTACGTAACGTATTTTGTTTGCATAGAAGAAAGGGAGATATAGCAAAATGAAATGCAAAATTAGAAAAATTCGAAATGAAAAATAAAATAAGAAAATTAAGAATTCAAAGCAAAAGAGCAACAACGTATTCGTACTTAGAGACTGTTGTCTATTATTGTTAATAGAACTCTAAAAGTTAAGTAGTGATACTCGGATTTATTTTTCACACTATCTATAACAAAATCCATATATATATATATATATATAGCGAACGTTTATACATATACACGTATACATATACTATTTCTATATAGTACTCGTAGTTTGCCAGCAGCCAGTATCCCTCACTTTATTTCTAAAATGGAAACCAAAAATCATTACTCTACTAGTGTCTTAAACAGCAGCCAGCAAAAACTACAATTACAAAGAAATCATAATAATATTAATAAATACTTGAAGTATTGTAAATTAGAATTTTATATAGATCGTGCACAGCGAAGAACTTTGCAAACTTTAAAAACATACTGATGTACACTGACAGAAACAAGCCTAAACAATATATAAATATAGAATACATATAGATGAGAACTTAAAGACCTCGATAAGCGTTAGTCGAACTATAGCTGTTGCCTACTTTTCAAATGTGTTTTGTTTGTATCTACGACGCTGACTCTCCTAGCATTTCCCCAAACTTTTTCTGATGACAAATTCGAAAACAAATTGTTGAAGCAAACCTTAATATTATTAAAAAAACATGAAAACAAAAATTAGTTGTTGTCAAAAGCGAATATAAGCAAAAAGAAAATATAGCGTTACTTAAACATAGATATGTTTAAATAGTATGAACAATTTCCTAACTCATCCCACCTACGCATCTCTATTTTTCTATGAAAATGCATTTGCTCCACAAGTGAGAACAAGTTATAGCAAAATAATTTGTATTTTTCAAAACGGAAAAATACAATGTTGAAATCAAAATACAGAAATATTTATAATGAATATATATACATATACATAAATATATGTATATATATACATGTGTAGTAATGAGACATAAACTAGAGCTGCATTTGGGTGGAGGTATTCAACGAAAAAAAAACCTATTTAGAGACTTTCTCACATGCCTGAGCCTAATTTGTACCTATATCCTATTGCATAAGTGTGTAAATCAAGCCCTATTTAAAGCAGATATTTTTGAATACTAATAAGTATTTTATACGAACTCAAACAGGCGCCTAGGAAATGGAAATATATCAAAAAATAAATCAACCATATATGAATAAATATATATGTATATTGACTTACATATAAATATTTAATTGTTGGTTATATGCTGAAGTACGGAAATATTAACAACAAAAAAACAAGTCAAAGAAAATTCAAGAAACGATTGTAGCATTAAATTTGTTTCAAATAAGCAAATTAAAATATATATTAATACTTAGCTAAAAAAAAAAAAAATGTAAGGAAAAATAATAAGCAAAACTAAGATTAATAAGTAAAAAAAAAAAAAATAATAATAATAA